TATATTGTCATCAAACAATCTGGAACTCCCACGACGAAGCCAATTTAGCCAAGCCATCTGCCTAGTCCAGTATAGAAGTGGTCTTGAAAGTTCTGTTTTCGTACAAAAGTTTTGGTGAAGCCAAACATCCTGAATTATTGGGAAAAGACGGTAAATTCTGGTCTTGATATATATCGGGTTGAAGGAGTTGGTTATGTATGGCAACGATTCAATTTGATAGTTATGTAGTTATGACGGCAAGTTATTAAGATAGTGGACAGGTAAACACACTATATCAAGGAAAACAGATTTCAAAGTATAAGTCCACTAAAGTAACCTAAAAGACAGTTTTGTTCCCCAAATACTGTTGTCTGTCTTGTAGGGTGGGGGGATAACCGGGTTGACGGTGAAACAGTACAGTAAATCAGGATATGTATATCGGATGTTGGTACGGGAGTCTTGCCGAACTTCCTCTTATGGGATACTAACGAGCATACACCCAATGTTCCCTGCTCGGAGGATATTGCGTGCTTCCCTCTTCTTTGTGGTAGAGCATGAGAGAACCCATAAGGGTGGACTAGGCTGAATTGTTTAATGAGAACAATGACGTAGCTAAATAAAGGCATGTAGAGTGTCGTAAAGATCAGTTTGAAACCCGTACGAAAAAGACTGAGATACACACTCTAACACAGCGCCCACAACTGTCTCTAACACCGAGGGCTGGCTGGCTGCGAGGGTCCTTAAACCACGCTAAGCATCCCGGAGGAAAGATTAAGGACACTTAAGTATTGTTTGTGAACAGGAAAGAAAACTTAGTGCTCTCGTTATTGTTCTCGTTAAGTTAAAACATGTTGTTTGGTTGTTTCTCTTGCAGCTCCAACATTCTGGGGCTTAATTACTAAACCCGATCAATATACGTTGCTATATAATGGAACATATTAGTGGTTCTGTTACCTAGTGATTATGATAGCAATTAAGTTAATACTGCAAACCCCGCACAGGCCAGGAGGGGTGTAAGTTGCCCTGTGCTGCCTCGAGAGGTGATTGTTAATCTTAGTGAAAGTTTAGGTATCGTAGCGGTGCACGTTCTTGTCTTGAGTTTCAAACAGTCCGTGAAGCCAAGGCATTTTCCAACGTCGGTGGTTCCCAGGAGGAGAGAGAGAGAGAGAAAGAGGAAGCTTTCGTTTTCAGCAGAGATCTAGACACTTCCGCTAGCAGTAAGGGTTGGATGCCAGTTCTCGTGCCATGAAGTTAATGAATTTAAAATGATACTTGAAGAATAAAGGCATTTGGTGTGTTGTTTCCTACAGAGGCTGATATAGGGATAATAATAAAAGGAGTTAACTATGGAAATGTATTGACGAAGAACGTGAGCCTTGGCAAGGTATTGTGGTTTCAGAGAGTTATTTCCACGTCTTTTTGGTGGAAAGTATGCTCCAAGGGTTGTGTGGTTCAAGGGTCAATATGGGTGACACACACATTCACAGACAGAAAGAATCGAACACAATACTCTGCCCACAGTTGCAGGTATAATAAGAGTTTCTGTTGGTATCTGTAGATAATAATAGTTTTTGACGTTAAATAAAACTGGTGTAATCACTTTCAGAATATTTGTGAAAAATATGAATGCGATTCTAAATTTCTTTTTATACTGGAAATGCAAGGTTTTAACGTTTATTGAAGGCTTACCAGTTAATACACTCGTGTGGCTGCACCCCAACACTGTAAGGTGTGGTGGAGTGGAGGGTTTGGTGCTCCTAGGGTGGGGTGCCGAGTTGTGGTGTGGTGTGGTGTGGTGTGGTGTGGTGTGGCGTGGTGTGGTGTGGTGTGGTGCTGTGTGGAGAGTTAGGAGGTGGTGTGATAGGGTATCTAAAAATTTACGATGATACATTTCTGGGTGGAGGTACAAAATAACAACAGTGTTTAATATTTGAATAATTTAAGGAATAAGTAGTAACACCGCGATTAAAAGGTTTACTTTTAGAGTAAGTTTCCAATTAATCTAGATGATCACATTCATGCAAATAGAAACAAAACTTACGAAACTTTCAGAAGCATGGAAATTACTCATCAAGTTTATATTTAGATTTTCTGCAGAAAGTGTAAATAAACTAAATGTGGGAAATAAGAGTTGGTACAATTCCTTCGCTTTTCTTGAGTTGGGTGAATGATTTAACCATTATTATTTATTTCTTCAGATAGTGGAAGTGGTATTATTTCAGAATTAAGAGCTCAAAAACAAGCTGCACTAAATCAGCTAACTACAAACCTCTGATGGAATCATCATCTTTACTGAAGGTATTTGAATCTTACTTGCTGGAAATTTTACAATGTTGTCTTATAATTTTCCATCCAGGTTTTATTTGTTTATTTTGATGCTATGATTTACAACAACTGATACGATAACAAGCGTTGTTTTGTAATATACAGTATATAAAACCCAGTGTACCAACCCGTATGTATGTTTCCAGTAAGCAACCAGTATTATTAATTTCATATTATACAGCACCGTTTTCATATCTATTACCTACGTCAGTTACATCATTGTACTTAACATAGTTCCGATATAACTGTTTATTTAATCAGAATATTGTTGCACTATACGCCTACAATATTGTACTAAATGAGAATTTACTGTAGCTGACCCAGACCAGAGCCACAGCTGTAAGAATGTGGCCATTATAGAATCGTGTTTCAGCTTCCAGCGGTCAACACGCACGAGGACCACCTGCTGTTTGGGTGAGTGAAGGTTCTGTAAAGGGAACTCTTTTGTATAGTGATTCCCCTGAATATATTGTTTAATTGAATGAACATCCCATTAATCTTCTAGGAAAAATTATTACAATTTGTTCACATGTTCAATAAATACATAAAATAATGTATCTTTTCTTATCCATAATTCTCAAATCTATAAATATTCCAGTGTACAGTCAGTAGTCTAATTTGCTTTTGTAATGCTAGAAGGAAGAGAAGGGGGCGGATATACTGCTCACACCCTGTCCTAAGGGTCACGGATTTATATCAGGGGTAACCTCAATCTACCCAACTATAAATGTGCACTAGACAACAGTGAGGGGAGTGAAGACGTTAAGTGCTATACCTCCTTGTGTGATAAAGGTTTAGTATACAATTATGTTACATTTATTCTGTCCCTAATCGACCGTCAGTCTTAAAGGACCTTCGTTTCAAGAAGACAGGAGAGAAGTTTCAGTTTCCACCACATCTTCAGACTCTATGAGGTCAATGGATCTTAGGCTGAGAAATAGGGTCAGGAGGATACAGAATCAGGGGCTAGAGTAGGGACCTAGATGTGTCTGGGTTATGAAGGAGTTGGTTTAGTAGGACTTTGTATGATAGAACTGTTCGCAGGAAAATGGCTTAGAAATAAATATATTAACTACAGCTTTTATTTCTACTTGAGGGGAGGACTTTTGTTACAGAGAGTACGGGGTCTTGAACAGCTTCTCATTAGGGATTTAAAGTTGGTGTACGAACAGGGGGTATGAGTCTGGTAGCATGTGTTGCTCTGCTCAATAAATGAAAGTGTGTTGGATTTATGTCCAGAACACCGAAAAAATGTCCTCGTATATTGAGTCAGTGGGGGCCATAGTTCTGTTCTGTAACCAGGCAGTGTGGAGGGAACTGAACATTACTGCTACTACTACTACAACTACTACTACTACTACTACTACTACTACTGCTTAGTTTTCCACGTTACAATCATAAATCAGGCCTTGAAGAGTTTATGCTACAAGCCATTCTGAGAAGAAATTTAAAGGGGTTTCATTATATGCCGAGTGTTGTAGCATGATTTGTGGTTAGCGCTTGTGAAGGGATAAGACTTGGTGAAGCAGTCGCAGGAAGGCTGAAGAACAATAAATAATTCTCTTAAATTATGTTTCTTCTTAATAATTTATTTTCATACCCATAACTATATAAGTAATTTACAAAAGGATATATCTATAAACTTGTTCTAGTGTAATTTCTCATATAATCTACTATTTTCTGTGGCTGCTGATGAGTAATTAAAAAACCTATTGTATTATACAATCTCCCGTATTATTACACTATTAAATTAACACTTTCATAGCGATGGAATTTTTATGTATATGTATACATCATGTAACATGTGTGAAAATGCGATTTAAAATAAATTTGGTGGCAATTTGTGTAAAGTAACTGATATTAGGTAAGCGTTAATGAAGATGAAATATACTGCGTGGAATAAATTTTCTGAGAGTGGTGGAGTATCCCAGAAATTAAAATGTTTTCCCCTTATTATGATTCAGAACCATGACCATATCTTAGGCTATAGATAAAAATGTATATTGTTCTCTTATATTATTTATCATTTCACCACTTATCAGCTTGCTAGCCTTTCGGGTGGTTGATCTGTTCTTGTTATTTCCTTATGAACTTAATTATCCAGTGTTAGTTATCTCACACCACCAAAACAGACCCCATTTTTTTTTTTCAAATTATCGTTGGAAATAGATTCTATAATAAGTTCCACACTACAAACTGTAAGGACCAGGGAGCTGTTACTTACCTGGACAGTAAGTTGTTTCCTTATGGTGACACAGCTGGAGGGTCAGCCCATGATGTGCTCAACACGGTTTAGAGACACATATTGGTAGCCGCTCTCTCTTTTCAGAAAAAATAAGGAAATTTTCGTAGTTATATATAGATATATAACGTTTCCCCTTTCCCAGGCAGACAAACTTTTGTTCACATGAATAATTTTACTGTCACGTTTGTTTTTACACTCACGTATGTCAGAGTTTTTTTTGTGAAACGGTGTCAGTTGCGGCAGTGTAAATTACACACTAATACAACAATATACGCTTTTGTAACATACTGTATATATACACCTACCACACCTACCACGTACTGGGTGTGAAACCTTTGGCTTCAGGATCAATATCTCACTCAGTTTGTATCTTTACAGTCAAACACATCGAGTGCTTCTGGAACCTAGCTACCACCTACCTAAGCACCTACCAGGAGAAACTATCACATACCGTGTCTATGGCCCCGGCGATTCTCTTGTCAGCGTTATACCACGTGATGGTGGGTGGGGGCCGGGATCCACGCACCTCACACACCACCTGGTACTCTCGGCCTGCCGTCAGCGGTAACTTTGGAGTCCGTACCACTACCGATAATGCCGGTACTGTAAGGATGAGATGTCATGGATGAGAATGGTACTGGGTGAGTGGTGGTACTGGCAACAGATATATTAAACGTGAATCATTAAATGGACACTAAAGCAAACCCACAAATTATAATTCCTGTTCTTGTTTAGTGAGGAAACTAGTGTAAACAACTTGGCACTACACCACTGACATACTCAACACCAGCTTGCATGAGGAAGATAGACCCAGGAACACACGATAGAGTCCTACTGGTGATTATAGATATACGAAGACAGATTGCCGTATATATGACACAGTGACAACATAACTTTACTAAATGTTTGTAGGTGTGGCTGAGGTTCTGTACCTGTGGAGGAGGAAAATGACATTATCTGAAGAAGAAAGGTGTGAAGGGAGGGGAGAGGAAATTACATTAAAGAAGTATGAAGAAAGATGGAAAATGGGATGACGAACAAAAAAATAAATCACATTATCTGGGTCATTTTTGTGGTGTTGAGACGCGTGTTGGTGGTGTAGCTGTGTTGGTGATGGTGTTGGTGGTGCAGCTGTGTTGGTGATGGTGTTGGTGGTGCAGCTGTGTTGGTGATGGTATTAGTGGTGCAGCTGTGTTAGTGATGGTGTTGTTGGTGATGGTGTTGCAGCTGTGTTGGTGATGGTGTAGGTAGCGCAGCTGTGTTAATGTTGGAAGTCGTATTTTTTCCCCTAACTTTATTTCCATTCTTAACATATCCAAACAATTCTTTGGGGTTTTGTCATTAAGTTCACAGTTACAAAATATTCACATTTTCTTTGTGTCTTTTTCTAAGTGATGTTGTCTGTATACCTGTCTTCATTACCCTCTGTGGTCTTGTATATCTTGCAGTGTCTCTCCTTTGCTGTTCTCAAATGGCCTGAGTTGAGTAAGCGAAAGGACTAACTATAAGATAATGGTATGACAATAAAGGTAAGTAAGACGTAGAATAACAACAACAGGCGGAAGGAAACGACCGAGTTCTAACATTTAAGAGAAAAATTTTACAGGAAAGACACATGAAACGAGAAAAAAAGAACTCAAATAGAAAAATCAATACAGTGTAGAAATAGATTAACTTTTTTTTTACTCTATTAAATAAGTCAAATATACCGAGAAAAAAATATAAAACTCGTATTTTTACTTGGAAGTTGACCACGAAGACAGAAAGTCGTATACAGAGATGGAGGTGTCAAGAATAGCACATAGAGTCACCCGAGTGGACAGGCTAAAAATGGAACACATTCAGAGAAAATTGAGAGTTGAGTCGATGTGTTGGAATATATACAAGGAAGCCAACCATAATGCTACGGACATCTGGAGAGAATGGGAGATGTATTATGGATGGAGACCGAGGGTAGGAGAACCTATTGGAGGGCCAGGCTGTGATGGAAGGAGACCATTGAGAAGGCCATGGCGGTAAGAGTACCGAGGTATAGGGTGGGCTGAGGGAGATGGGATTTACCAAGACAGGCTAGAGTGAAGGTGTCTTTTTGGGCTGGGGAACTGACAAGCCTTAGAGCCTAATTGGAGGGTGAAAGAGTATGGCCGATTTCACTTATGATGGATGATAAACTCAGTGGTCTATGATGTTGTTGGATGATAAACTCAGTGGTCTATAATTTTGATGGATGATAAACTCCGTGGTCTATAATGTTAATGAATGATAAACCCCGTGGTCTATAATTTTGGTGAATGATAAACCCTGTGGTCTATAATTTGGTGGATGATAAACCCCGTAGTCTATAATTTTGATGGATGATAAACTCAGCTCTGTATAATGTATTTCTTTTATTTCCTCTTCTCATCAGTCTCATCAATTAATACCCTACTTTTGTTTAGCTCAGCCTACATTACACATGACTCTACTCGCTGTATCTAGACGCTCGTAAAAAAACAGTACTGTATTGTCTCTCTCGTGGTGACCTAACTGGAAGACTGTGGCAGGCGGTCTTCACACATGACAAAAACAAATATTATAATCCTCAGCTGAAATACTCTGTCACCGGCTTTCGAGGGATGGCTTTTCACTGCACCACCACTAATATTATGTAATGTTATACACTTTTTACACAACAACATTGACTAAAAACTACTTTTGTAAACTAATTACTACACAAATAAGCTTAATGTTAACATGTGATGAATGGTGTGTGTTGTGATGATTTAATTTTGTGATGGGTGTGGTGGTACAGTATAATGCTGGTAGTATAATGGTGATGGTACAGTATAATGATGATGGTCCTATTATGGTGATGGAGACACTGTAGGAAACTGTAGTTAAAAGGATGGGAAGCGTACGTTGAGGAGGGTGTTGTGATGTGTGTGTGTGTGTGTGTGTATCTGTGTGTGTATATGTGTGTATCTGTGCCTGTGTGTCTGTCTGTATGTCATATGTCTTATATTAGTATGTGAATATTTATATGAACACCAACTTGATCATAATCTTATATTAGTTTTTAGTGACACCACACTACCAGGTTACCATTCTTAACGCCTAACAGTATATATATATATATATATATATGTACTTACGGTTCATATCGACCATCACCACTACAGACGTGGGTAGTGTCAGGTTGTTATTGGAGGCTTCACAAGTCAGCAATAATTTCAAGTCATTTCTGGTAAGAGGTCCTAACGTAAGCGTATTGTAAGGTTCTCTCGTCAAGTGTTGTAAGGACTCCGAACTCCGTGTTGTTGAGGTTTGATTTACTATAGTTTGTATAGTGGGTCCCGAGGAGTTGGTTGTTGTGTTGGATACAGGTGGTGGCGCTGCCGTCGTATTGACTCTATCCTGGGACTCCATGTGGCTGTCAAGAAGGTGAGTGTCCTCGAACCACACCACTGATGGCCTCGGGACACCTGTCACAGAAGACAAATACAGACACACATGAATAGGAGTTCAGCTACCAGGTTCGGACAACGGTTAGTGTGACAAGCAACACATCTGCCAGTTATCATGACTGTCTATATATGAGCTGTGTATCAACAAACATCACAGAAGGCTAACGAGATGCACATGATGAGAAGCTACAGTAACTTCTTGGACATTGAAACACAAAGGCCCAGCGCCCTCATAATTAATGTGCCACCTGAAGGTGTGAATATTGTATTTTTATAGAGTACTTCTATATCTTAATAGTTACACACATACACACATACACACTAAATGGCTAATTTAAGAGAATACTTAACTTAAACTAACCTCTTAACCGCACTTAACCTAACCTTTAAGCCTAACAATCTGCTAGGGGCGTGTGGATACAGTGTGCTGTACAGCCTTCGGTACACAAGGGGGTTGAGTGGCCGGCACGGCAATCGACGACATTCACTTCTCTAAATGTACAGTAGTGTTAAGCGCCCATTGACAGCTGGGTGAAATGGGGGTGCCCAAAGAGATAAGGATTATATATAACGCAATCCGCTCGTCCTATTCACTAAGTATCTCCCCACCATCTAGGGAAATTATGATACGAGTTATACACAAAATAATGTGTGGGTTGTGGACGGGGTGTCATATCTTAACTCATCCCAGCAATGATCACAAGTCTTTCTCGTATATATGTTATAGGTTGGTTATTCATATCTAATATTTATGTTTACGCCAGTGGAAATACATCTTATTGTGTTAGTCCCACGTAGACTAACATGTTAAACCCAACTAAGAAATATCGTAAGATCATTAGATTTGGAAAGGAAGGTAGTTGTGGTTGGTTTATTTGTCTGTCATCATAAGGGTTTATTCATATGCATTGGATGGCCTGGGAGCCTTCTACCGGGTACCCTCACCAGGGCAGTGTGTGGGCTTAAACAAAAGCCTTAATTTCAACTTGTTTTAGATAGAACAGTTTTGTTCCCTCAAAAATAATTATTACCCGTATTACCTCATCGTCATTTACCCTTAACTTATAATTATGTACGGTAAAAGTGTTAAGAAGGTGCACCGCCTTATTGGTGATCGAGTCTTTCATAATACAACGCTGGTATGGTGTCGGAGGAAAGAAGCAACGGGTGTGAATTGGCTTTTGTTTGACCACATCCGGGTCTAAAGCTGAGAGACCAACAGAACGAACGAACAAGACATCCTAATAACCTTAAGACATTCTTGTTAGGTTTGTTTACCCCTCGTAGACTCGACTCATTCGTACATAGATGGAAAGTTGTCGTTTTTATGGTTATTTGATAATTGGATACAACTGTTCCGAGGCTGTATTGTGGCAGTAACAGCATTTACATATAGAATAGAAATTGTTTGTTGCTGCTGGATACGTATAAATAATATCACAATAAAAAAAAATGGATATCTAAATTCTCATTTCGTTAGGGTTGTTGAGTTGACTTATCTTGACGTAACCTAACCTACAAGACAAAAGTCTTGAATTTTTGTATTCCATCAAAAGTTTATGGATGTGGAGACACTGAAAAAGTATTAATTTCTACACAAGTAACATAAGAACTCAAAGGTTAACTGCGGAGTTTCATTTCCTGTCGAGTTAAACTTTTATTTTTCGGTTTCCCTTTTTTTTTATTTACACCAAATTTGTATTTTATATATTCAAGCCTTTATCTTTTATTCTCCATTGGACACATAAACACCATACAACCATTTCATTTGATATACATGCAAACTCATTATTTATTCTCTTTTTTTTCTATTGTAATTTAATCAATTTTTCACTTACTATCAAAATGAGGTGATTATATAAGATACAGGTGTAAGAGTGTTTTAGGAATTGCAAGATACACGACAGATTTTGCCCTTTGCTAAAATGCAGGAAACAGCTGACATAATATAAAACTCGGTTACGTATGACAGCATCTATGTATATTTTTGTATTAAATATATAGATAAATTATCATACATTAAACATAAAAGACGTCCCTCTTCCTTCAGCCCTGCCTCTGTTAGCGTTTCTCACTAGACCCCTGTTTCCGGAGCTGTCAGGTCGCTATGCACTTGAGAGAGTGGATTAAACTGTGCAGAACTTCCAGACAAAAGAGTTTAGGGGAGTTTTTACAAAGTGTGGGATGAGGTTTTCTTGTTCATTTATTCCCATGTGTGAACCCTTAGTCACTGTGTTCCCATGTTTGAACCCCAAGTTACTGTGCTCCCATGTTTGAACCCCAAGTCACTGTGTTCCCATGTTTGAACCCCCGAGTCATTGTGCTCCCATGTTTGAACCCTTAGTCACTGTGCTCCCATGTTTGAACCCCAAGTTACTGTGCTCCCATGTTTGAACCCTTAGTCACTGTGTTCCCATGTTTGAACCTTTAGTCACTGTGCTCCCATGTTTGAACCCCGATGTTTTAACCCCAAGTCACTGTGCTCCCATGTTTGAACCCTTAGTCACTGTGTTCCCATGTTTGAACCCCATGTGGTCCCATGTTTGAACCCTGTCATTGTGCTCCCATATTTGAACCCCAAGCTCCCATGTTTGAACCCCAAGTCACTGTGTTCCCATGTTTGAACCCCAAGTTACTGTGCTCCCATGTTTGAACCCCAGTCATTGTGCTCCCATGTTTGAACCCTTAGTCACTGTGCTCCCATGTTTGAACCCTTAGTCACTGTGCTCCCATGTTTGAACCCCAAGTTACTGTGCTCCCATGTTTGAACCCCAAGTCACTGTGTTCCCATGTTTGAACCCCAAGTCACTGTGTTCCCATGTTTGAACCCCGAGTCATTGTGCTCCCATGTTTGAACCCTTAGTCACTGTGCTCCCATGTTTGAACCCTCAGTCACTGTGCTCCCATGTTTGAGCCCTTAGTCACTGTGTTCCCATGTTTGAACCCCAAGTTACTGTGCTCCCATGTTTTAACCCCAAGTCATTGTGCTCCCATGTTTGAACCCCAAGTTACTGTGCTCCCATGTTTGAACCCCCTAGTCCAGGGGTGTCAAACTCATGGCCCGCGGGCCAAATGTAACCCGTGGGATGGTCAGGTGTGGCCCGCGGGATGATGGTCAAATTTATCATCCCGTGAAATTATGAAAAAAATAGATATAATCATGTTTATTTAGTAAAATGAATTTTACAAACTTAAGATCAGACAAACTCAAATGAGGTATTCCTGGCAAGCCAGGTAAGGCAATGTGTGAAGCTGTAAACTTCAATCCTGCAAATATGTGATATAGCGCTTGTGTTGGCCCTGAAGAGGGTAACTAAAATAAGAATTGGCCCTCGAAAGGTTTTAAGTTTGACACTACTGCCCTAGTCAGTGCTCCCAGTTCATTTGTTGTGAGTATAACTTCCGGTGTAGGTCCTTGTAGCCAGTCCTCCTGAAACCCATAGTGGTACGTCACCTACAGGAAGTATTTGCAGTCCTCCTAAGGCCTAAGTCATACTGATTCATGTTCCTGGTGGCAGAGTCTTTCATTACTTCGTCGCCAGCAGAAGTACATGGCCACGGTAACAACAGCCCACTCACCCTCTGTTTACTATTCACTGTTTCCTCATAGTGATATTTTACTTTTTTTTCTTATTTCCTCCGCCACATCTTTCTGGTATTTTTCTATGTGGTCGATCCGTTTCCTGCATTCCTCTCAGTGACTGGTTTCAGCGGAAGTTTTTCCATTCTTAGTTGAAAATTGGGGCTTGTCAAAAAGAATGTTTGATTAACTGCAACACGTGGTTGAATTCTCTTCTGTTTTGTTATCATGGCTATGTCACTACATCACTTCTGAAGGGTTTTGTATTATATATTCAGGACTTCTGGAAATTCCTCACTTTAATTATCCTGATCACATATGGCTTTTCACATTTGTCTTACGAAATAAACTTTGTGTTCGATTCTTCTTTTAGAATTTTCAGTAAAAATATATTTATTTATTTGGTGTTATTACGTATAAGTAAAATCTATTACCCAGTGTCACTTTGAGTAAAAATAAAAATTTATCAAATAGTTTGTGGTCTTAGTGCTTAAGCTTAACGAATTTAACGGAAATATTAAAGTGCAGCAGGAGAAAATATGACAACAGCGAGTCTGATATAAACAAGTTGTTATCGGCTTCAGGCACAGGTAGGTCACTTACCGCCGTGAGCGATGCAAGTGAGCACCAACATGTTGCCTTCCTGGTAGGGACCCGCAACACTGGTCACCGACAGCTTCTCGCCTTTTATGCCGCCTATCACGACACTCACGCTCTCAGGGGGAACTGTGAACAGAGATTTGACATATTATTGCATGTGTTATGAGAGCTGGTAAGAGGTTGTGTGCAGCGTATGAGACTGGAGACTTGGTACTCTTCTTGCTGTGTGGGAGACGAGGAGAGTCAAGTTGTGGGTATATGACTCTTGGGTGTGAGGAGTGAGAGTGGCCGATTATTTGCTATTTAGGAACAAAAGGTTGTGACAATATACCTTTTAGAGGAGAGATTTAGGTGACGTCATTGATTATGTGAAGGTTAACTGATGGTAACTCGGATGGTTTTCTTCAGGTCTTTGTTACCCACTGCATCACCAATCCTACCGGGCTTGGTAGCATGACGTCAGACTGGGAACGTTTTTGCATGTTCCCGTGCTGTACTGGACATAGCCATGGGAGAATTGCCTCAATCAACCTTAGTAACTCAGAAACCATAATTATGGTCTACTGATGTGGGTTTTTTTCAAACCATTACATACTTTGATTCATCGCCTTATCAAACCAAGGTGATTGTGAAAAATGGGGAATTATTTGAAAATAATTAGATTACGTATGATATATACACTGAGCCTTCCATTATCTAAAGGAAAAACCTGTGGGTAGTTACCCATTGGCTGAGAGATATGACCATTTGTTACTAAAATATTGACAATTGAAAGTGGGTCCCTGAATAGGTCTGGGTACAGCACAGTGGTGTCGCTCTCGAGAATAATTTTGTTATTTATTTATTTTTTATTTTTTGGGTCAGATCTCGATGTCGGTTTCAATCTCAGGTGCTTAAGGTCTCGGTCTGGGTCTCACGGTTTTGCTCGAGACTTTCGACACCATAATTTATTTAGCAATTTTCAGTATACAGTATATACTGTATATATATATATATATATATATATATATATATATATATATATATATATATATATATATATATATATATATATATATATATATATATATATATATATATATATATCGCATGACAGAGGTTCAAGACATTTATTCAGTTTTCCAGAATATGAACATTTACAGTATTGTCCTCGAATGAAGACTATTCCTATAGTCTTACAAACAGTGGCAGAATAATCTCGGTACCCTCGTGTAATGTGGAAGTTTAATTGCGAATCGCATTTCAGTGTCAGAGAGAATTGGTTTGCAATTACTTAAGGATCTTATGTAGTTACAGGAAAGCTGCTATCAATGTATTATTCCTGACAAGATACAGCACACACCTTAATATTAACGTTAATTTATTCGTGTATAAGGTTTAATTTACACTTTTTTATTCTATACATAAAGGAAGACAAGAATCATCCACTTGAATCAAATATGTGACCTTGATAAAGTAATAGGAATCATTAAAGGAATATATATATATGTATATATATATATATATATATATATATATATATATATATATATATATATATATATATATATATATATATATATATATATATATATATATATATATATATATATATATATATATATGTCTGCCTAAAACAAGTTCTTCAGCACATTGAGAGTTAAACCTGAGGGACGATATGACCCACGTTACAGTTTATCTTCAGTATAAACCGTAATTCATTATGGAAGGATGAAGAGATACGCCACCAATGCGAATATAATTGTAGGCCAGTGGTCACCTGACGTACAGTGCCCGGCAGGTGTCACTCACTGTGGCAACGGTGGAATGAGATGGATGGATTAACCCGATCTCACCTACTAAGCTGGAATTGAGTAATTTTGATGGATTGGGAGAGGAACAGAGGCCGAGCTTGAAAAATATACAATATATCTTTAGGTACAAGTGGACGGTATGAGGAGTGAGACTTATCAGCACGATTATATTACTGAGGATACAAAGGATTGTAATTATGTAAATGAAATCTAATCTTTACTTAACATACTAGATTATATCAGGCATTCATATTTGATCACATTATGAAGACAGTGTAGCTAAAACTTGCCATTCTGTCACTTGTGGAAATGTACCGAAAAACCGAACATGGTAAAGTGAGAGGAAAGCGAGCTGTCATGTGTGGCAGAAGTCTGACAGTTCAACACAATACATCTAGACTTTCGGATTTTTACAGCATGCATACAAAGTACTGTTAAAATAATGAATATGGTAAAAACAATAAAAACAACCATTGAATTAGTTGAGAACAGCCGTTAGCGACACACCTAGTATTTCAGTCTGAATATTTTAATCTGAGATAAGTATGACCTACAGTAAGAAGTAGGAGTAAGAAGCATATATCCTGATCGTGGTGTTTGGTTACATGAAGTGAGTTTTTCAAAAGACTTTAGTTCCCACGCATAATAAAATACTTCATTTGGAAAAGAGTTATAAGAAATATAATGATGTTTCCAAAAGTCATTGAAGATAACTCTGGATGAACAACTTTGGGGAAATACTTTAGTTCACTTACTTAAATTATTGTCAGTATTTGTCTTCGTAGTTGATCATAGCTGACCATATTAATTTATCAGTTTCTAGTTAACTGGTGAATCATTATCGTTAAGCCAGTTATAATGAGTTTGAGTTTGAGGTATTATGATAACTAATATGCTGTATCTCTATAACCATAATTTAAAAAAGCTGTTTTGTTGACTTTTACAATATATTCACAACTTATCTTCAGGCAGCACGTCTAATATATGCCAATTACATGAAAAATAGTAGTTATAGCTTATTAAGAAAAATAGTAGTTATAGCTTATTAAGTTATACAATCAATGTAGGATTTTAGTAGAATTTGAATATGTATTTGTTTGTTGTTATCAAGAACTTTGGGTGGCAGATTTATCACAAGCGCTGTACTGACTTTAGTGCTGATCCAATGCCTCACCTTGACTGATTGTAGGTATAACATGTGTGGAGTCCAAGGCCATAACTGGCAGTCCTAGCTATGAGGAGTGCATAAGGCTGAGAGAAGGCTGTTGTTGACGGGCCAGTTGCTCACCCTTAATGCGGTCGTAGAATAGCTAAGGAGGTGATGCTGCTCTGTGCACTGCGACATAGCCAGCCACTCTACCTACAGTCAGTCACTCTCCATCCATCTCAGAATGACTGTTTTATCCATCATATCGCTAATACGTGTCAGACGAAATACAGATTTGATTTACAAAAAAAAAAAACGCAAGCGGCGACTTTATCAGGAGTTAGTTTGCCATAGCGACCATCACGAAGGACCTTAAGAACATTAAAACATAGACAAGAGTTTCTGAGTAGGCACCCACACACGCATACCCTCCCCCCCCCCTCACACACACGTGACCATGTTCATATTTATTTTGGAGATTGCTACAATAAATTTTGTGCTAAAAGAAACAGCAGTTCATGATAGATTTCGCTAAAATCGGTTGGAAACGTATTAACACCAATTTTTTAATATATTCTCATTACTTATAAAAACAACAATGTCGGTTATATTTAGGGAGGAAAATTTCTTTATATTTTCATTTCACGTTTTATGAATGATAAGATTAAATAAACGAACTCTTTGACAATTCAATTAAAAACATTCCAGAATCAGAAAAATCTTTACCCAATGCATACACAATGAAAGGCTTGTTAGTGTAGAAGCGGTACCACGAGCTGTGATGTTAATCGAGAAACACAGCCAAAATAGTGTGTTGCTGGCCGCTGTGGTGGGGAAGTGAGCCTCAGTTCGGGGTGTTGCAGAGGAAGGAACCCAGAAAGCCCCGAGTCCAACATCTAGTTCAATTTACGGGGATCATATTTCGTATCTACAGCCGCACAGTCCGGTAGCTCTGAATAATTTTGGATAATAAAGATTCTTAAAGTTTATTTTTTGTTTTACTAGTCGAGCTAAAGAGAAAACATAGAGGAGTGAGGTAAGTCTGTAGCATATACTGTCCATATTATCAGGTTGCAATACATATAGAAAGCGACAAACACTTACTGGGCATGGCTTGTTCTGTGTTGCAGTTATACAGGGTGATTTACTCGCCGGCAGCTAACTAAAGTCATAGGTTTTCCAAAATACATTTCTCACCATCATTGAATTTAAGACAAACATTCACCAGGAGATTAAAGCCACTGAAGAGAACATGTTACAATGAACAGTCACTAATATGGCTATCGATTCATAGACAAAGGTTATATTAACAACACTCAGGGTGAATCAAACCTGTAGCGGGATTGCATGTTTTTTAAGAAGCGATAAAAGTCACCGAATTTTTACGATTCCAAGGTCAATAAAATATGTATTGATTACATAGGAACTGGCCTTGATTCGTCACCTTTGACCCTGAGCCACTGTGACTTCTTGACCTTTCTCCATAATTCAGGTAGTTTTTTCTCGGCCTGCACATATTAAACCATCCTGCCGAATTCGTAAAGATCGGTAAGCTTGTTTTATTTTATTTATATTTTGTTTAAGATGCCTCTTACAGAGAATGACAGGTACACACATAGGAATAAGACAATCACACATACAGTACATCAAAGCGAAAAAAAAAACAATCGCATTTCTCTTCAGGCGGAGGTCAAGTAATTCCCAGATACGTCTTCGCACCAAGAAATGTCGGCGTGTTTCCAAAAAAATAAAACAATATATTTTAATGTCGGGGAATAGAGAAAAATCTGCCGTTTTCTTTCGTGCCTCAAAGGATAGATGGAAAAAGAATAGCCATAATTTTCACCGATAAAAAGAATCCGACGTGAGGGTCATTAAAATCATTTATTACCCAGTGTCTTTGGGATAAAGTAGTTTAATGGGTAAATACATAAATTCAAGAGTCTAATAACGTGAAATCGCCAATATACTACAATTTACACTAAGGCAATACAGCTAAATAAACTTGAGACAATTCTAATACCTTCTCAACATCACCCCTTTTTTCACCTCCTATTTTTATACATTTCGTGCTACTCCAGTAGAACTTTTACCCTTCTCTTTGTACCCTTCATCCCCCCTCTCTCCTCCACGTCACCTCCCCATCCCATCACACCCTTCCTCCACACCTCCACACATAACTCTATCTGACCCAACTCCCCCTCGCCCAAGTCCATCACAGCTCTCTCTCTCTCTCTCTCTCTCTCTCTCTCTCTCTCTCTCTCTCTCAGCCACCACTTACAATGTATGTATCTATACCTGATGACAGTATTGTATGGTGATTGATCCTCCACGGGTTAATAAGGACACAGCTGATAACAGGACTTTTGAAACTTCGATCAACAACATACATTATGAGGGTTATTTTGCGATTTTTGTGTGGATATCAAGTAAAGCGATCCCCCTTTAGTGAAATTTATGTTCGTACAATAATCCATATCATATGAGGTTCTGTATTTCTTAGCTTCCGTGGCTTCCTCGTCACCATAATATTTGTTTATCTTCTATTTAAATACTTCTCGTTAAGTGTTTATATGTAAGTGTTATCTGGGTTTATTTTTCTCTTTAGTTAACAAAACCATAGACCAAAATTTATGGGGTTGGGTCACTTGGCTTTCGTATATATTGGAAAAATGTGTAGCATATGGGAATTCCGCCCATAAGTCCACCAACAGATGGAGATCAGGTCTGTTCTCCATTCAACATTTAGGAATGACTTTGATTGTTCACGTTGTGTTGTGTGTGGTGGCTGTTGTAACCCAATTTAGAAGTCTTGTAAATCTCCCACATCTTTACTTTTTATTATCACTGTCATCCCTTGGTGTAGGGCCATTCAAAATGAAGAATCCTAGTCAAGAGGCTGGAGAATTAACTTGGTATTGGTAGATAGGAACATAAACTTGTCGCAGTCTTTGTAAGGGTCGTTAAGCAGTTGAAGACTGGTCACGGGCGTCGTGTAGGAGAATAGAGTTGTAAGACAGGTTTTGCTCCTGTACTGTAAACGCAGTCCAGCACCATCTCCGAAACAGTGCTGCACAACCATCCACACTCTTCTGTTGTTGTGTCAGGTAATTTAATCACAGAATTATTTATAAAAGTAATTCAACGTTTACAATCACCAGCAGCTTTATACTAGTCAAACGGGCCTTTCTAAACTTAAAGCCTTGAATATAGGCATCGTGAGGAAAGTCCGGTTAGAAGCAACTAAACTCCAACACTAATTAGAACTGTTACGCATCATGACCAGTACATTGGTTGATAATGGTAATGGTAGTGCATTTATCATTGCCAGGAAGCGTGCGATGGATGCAGCTTAGCACCAGACTGCATAGGCAGAGAAAGCTGAATTTCAAGCAGGTTCACCTACAGACTACAGACTGAAAACATGGACTTGTGGTTTGAATCGTTCACACAGAAGCGTAATCCCTCTACAGCAGTGAAAGTTCTTGCAGTTCACCTCCTAGTTCAACAGTTTCTAGGTGTATTCCTGCCCTGTCCCCTTCAATAGTGTATACAGTATATCATCTGGGATTAATGATGTATCGCAAATTTGGCGAAATATGAACAAGATGAACGAACACAGAGAATATAAGAAAACCAAATTTGATAGGATACAACAGGCATTGTTACTATATGTTGAGAAACACAGGCGCCGAATTATTGAACTGTCACGCTCGCTGACCAGGAAACATGTCAAGGAAATTTATCGCTTGTTACCAGGGAATAGTGGAGAAAACTTGGTTGGATCTGAGGGATGGCTGATCATTATTGAGAGGCATCCAAGAGAACACGTAGGCTTCTGAAGCGGTCCACATTCTGCTGCGGGTTCTTCCTCATCTTGACTGAGCATCAGATGTTCTTATTCTTGACTTGCTACATAATTTTTCAAGTTCTTCGTAACTCATCACAGACTGCATTTCGAACTTGTTTAATTATATATATATATATATATATATATATATATATATATATATATATATATATATATATATATATATATATATATATATATATATATATATATATATATATATATAAGATAATTTAGAATTCAAATTACAGCAATATATTTACAATTCACCAATGTTGTTTAACACAGTGGTTAAGGAGTAAACGTCCTGTAGAAAAATATTACACTGCTGTGGCTGCAGTTAGGTGTGGCTGAAGGCAGGTGTGTCTAAAGGTAGGTGTGGCTGAAGGCAGGTGTGTCTAAAGGTAGGTGTGGCTGAAGGTAGGTGTGTCTAAAGGTAGGTGTAGCTGACTGCAGGTGTAACAACCCGATGAAGTAAAAATCGTTACAACAAACTATCAATTACCCATAAAACATTCTCTGGTGGTGTTCACTGTGAAGCAAATGATTAATAATATGAATGGAGGTTTTTATCTTATAATTAACCAAATCATTATAGTCATTCAATTAGAAAATAATAATAAAAAAGATACGTGTCATTAAACCATTTAACAATTCAACAGATTCTTTTTGTGATGCCTTTGATCAGAAATTAAAGATCAAATAATGAGAGCAAATATTGGATCTACAATTAAACACAGTGAAAAGCAAAACAAAAATATGAATATAAAAATAAGAAAGAAAATTAAATGACTAATTATGAAATACAAGCAGAATATATTACCTGCAGACACTTATCACTCCACATACACACACAGACATGACCTAATGATATAATCAGCGTTAGTCTGGCGCGCTTATAGAATTGAGACAGTTGTAGTCCATGTGAGCCAATGAAACCTGTTTAGTACCTTGTTTCTCCGATTTTGTCACCACAGTATCTTCAGTAGTCTTAGTAGTGTTAACCCCATTCCCATTCACCTCACACTACTGTCGTCCAAGAGCTTCTGATCAGTCCAGGAGTCCTTATACCTCTTTAACTCAACCAATGACTCCCTCTGTACACAAATACTCCCACAATAACGCCGCGAACCAGGACTGAACTCAGACCACCGTGCTGATTCCCGTTTTCTGATGAAGCAGTTGTTGGTAAATTATGTAGTGTTATTCCAGTTAACCTTATGAACATGATCCGAGTGCCACTACCCAATGCTTAGGTAAATTATTCAGCAGTTCCCGTCCATGAGTATAATCCAACTACATCACTCTACCCCAGATCTCCAGGAACTGTACCAAGGATTAAACTTCCTCCACACAAGAATGAACAATTTCCCAAACCGAAGTCTCCTTATTTAAGAATTTATACTGAAGGAAGGATGAGACTTGTGCAGTTCAATTGGAAACTACAAACCCAACTGATTTCCCTGGAGTAGTTTAAACCGTGGTATCACTCGGCTTAATGCCTGAGCAGATTAGTTCTAAAACACCTGAGTGAGGTTCACAAATATCCCCAGATAAAGAACAAACCTTTTCTATAGTTACAATACTTATTTTATGATTAATGTATTGTCCATTTTTAACACTTTGTTCTATGATCCTTTAAGTTACATTAGGTTGATCAAACATTATCGATTACGAACAATAGTGATCTTACTCACACACACACACACACACACACACACACACACACACACACACACACACACACACACACACACACACACACACACACACACACACACACACACACAGACAAGTGCAGCTGTGGGCCAGTGTCAGGTGCGGCACATCAGAGGTCGGCCTGAGTTACGACAATATCCTGAACTACGGTGTGGCGACTACACTGTCATGACCTGGGACATGCTAGAGATTGTAAACGTTATGGCATACATGACTGGAAATAAATGCCTTTAATGTCTGAATATAAAAATATATTTACTATACAAAAGTAATAGTTTGGCTGACGTACCTACAACAGTAAGGTTAACTCTGGTAGTTTTGGTGGGCTGCAGCTTGAAATCGACGCGGCAGGTGTAGAGGCCCTGGTCGTTGAGGGTGAGAGAGGACACACGGAGCAGCGCCGGTGAAGTTGACACCTCCAGCTCTGCTCTTGACCCCAGCATCTGTTCATCTGACCAGTGCCTCTCCTTCCCACGTCCCAGCCACCGTTCATCTAACCTGAAGATGTAAAGTTAAGAATGTCACATTATCAGATTATCTTTCTCATATGAAACATTCATCGTTACAAGTGACCTCATTAATGGATCTTACCCATACACTACAGTTACCCAGCACAGTATTGGTTAGTTGTCATATCAGTGTATTTTACCCTTCCCCTGTCTGCCTCCTCTTGTCCAACCTGCCAACTTAAAATTAATGGTATCAGACTAGTGTATATTTTCACTCACCACTCTTGTCCAAACTGATCTAACAAAACAGTAAATAAAATGAGTTAGATCTTGAACGAAATATATGAGGGACCAACAGTGTTCTTGACTTGGTTCAACGAGATAAGAAGATAATAAGGTCTACACTGTTACAATCCCACTCAAGTAACTCAGAACCACCATTAACAATCTTCAAACTGATTTTACTGTGACTGATGACTCTCAGAACATTACATTCACGGTGGAAGTTATAGTTTTAACCGGTGTGTCTTTATCTTAGCATGATCTTTACTTAACCTTTGGAGAAAATCAGAGGTCGACCCTGCACATTGTTCTCTGCTCGATTGTTCTACATCACTGACACCGTTTTCTTAAGGCTATTTCAATTCGCCATAGTCTCAAAAATTTAGGGACCATCGCCTATGATAATATGTTTAACTTAGATGCTACACTTAATTTTTATTTCATAAATCAGATAAGATTATACATTCATCTGTATATAGATTTATTAGTAAATATTTACATTCTAAATTCATAGCCAAATTATTCATATATTCAGCTGGATAATAAACTATTTGTAGGTGAGTCAGCAGGAGTGACGTGTGGCGACCAGCTGGCCTTCGTTAATTTATTCAATATATATTTCATTTGCAGAGATCATAAAACCTAATATACTATTTGGTATTTTGCATCTTATATATATAATTTTTCTTCTTATATCTGTCAAAATACATTCAATTTATATCATAAGTTCTAATAATAGCAACGACAGACGATAGAGTACATACCTGTTGCTTATATAACAAACGGAGTCCAGCTTATGAGACGTGAGGTCAATGTTAATTCCGAAATAGTCCACCGCGAATTAACTATTGAATCCTATTTACATTTCGTCATTTCAATTCGAAGGCAACAGCAAGTGAGCCATAGCAACAAACAAACCTCATATCATGGAAATAAATTTCTGATGATTATGAAGTCGTCTGCTAGTCACTTGTTGCGCGCCTAGTGTGTACCTTAGTTCTAGTTAATGAGGTTAAGGACATAGATGACTACCTTAGTTCTATTTACTAAGTTAAGGAAATAATAAGTCATCTTTTTTATGTATTACAACTAATGAGACTAGTGCAAATGATCTCACAATCTGTTTAATTTCGACGTTTTATCAGTACTCACCCGCACCTCCCTACCAAATCTTAGCTCTCTTGAAAACTGTGGAAATGCATCCTACCCGCGGCTAGAGGGTTGTGGTTCCCTATTAGACATCATTTGGTATTATATATTATTTTCTCCCTGTAAACACACCTTATTTTGTTATGCAGACGGGGTGAGAATTTTGCATAAGTAGCTTCACAGAGAGAGCATTGGCTTGGCGCTGCTGATATCGCAACCTGTATGCGTTTCTTATTTACATTTTTGTTATGGACAGTGTTGTTACTCCCAGCAGTGGAACATAGAACTCCACTTCAACAAACATGACTTTATAAAATACTTAACAGCTACAAAAAGTATAAAAATAAGTCATTACTTGGATATTTTCTTTATTCGGACATATATCAATAAACTGTTGAAAAGCTTGTGGATGTTTGGGATAAATACCTCCTCGTTAAGGGTAAAATATGTTCTCGTCATGACATTTTTGCGAGATTAATAACGATTGACAAACCAAAATATGGAGAGAATTATGGGTTCAATGCAAAGAGAAAAAAAAAACCGGGAAAACTGTTTACATAAAGCGGAGTTAGTTTACGTGAGGGTTAATGGCGGGGAAAATAACCCCCGCAAATCAATACTGCGTCCAGGACTATCAATAAGATAGATCAAGCGTCATATTACAATTACAGTAAAATATAATAAATAAAAAATCCAAAAAAAATCGGGATAGTCATTAATACGGAGAAGAGCACGACAAAACTCGGTCATCATCCGGGGGCAGTTGTCCGGGGTAGAGGAATACTAAGCTGGAATTTAATATCAAGTCATATACAATATTAATTCTGCATTGAAAACCAAGAGTAGTGGGAATTGTACCATCTAGTAATAGGAACCTAAGTACAGAGTTATTTTGATTGTGTGATGGAGTGGAACTTTCTGTCCCTCAAGGCTCCTGCCGATTGATCCGTATTTATTCCGAGACATTTCGACATTATTATCACTTGAAAACCTAGTCCTTCCAATGTAGTTCTGTCTCTTTGTTCGACCTACGCTTTCTCTGTGTTTAATTGTTAAGCACTGGATAATGTTAACTGATAGAAAGTGTTTGAGATTCCATTCAAAACAAACTATTTCGTGCATTTTGTGATGTTATGATCACAGATACAATATAATGAACTTCACGTAAAAAAAAATATTAATTATGTTTTTCGTATATACAAATCAATTTACTGCATCAGACCTTAACGTATTCAGCTAGACAGATTGTGTACTAACTCAAACAGCTACGAATACTATTACACAACGACACAAACATCGTACTGTACTGTGTTGATATGTAGGTCATTTTTATCCATTTTTATCCATATAACTTCCCCAACACAAGGCAGTACAATCACGAGGATGTGCATGGGACGGAAGGTCGATGTTAAGACGAAAATAATGAAGATAAACTACAAAAGTTTAAAACCAGAGTAAGGCAAGAGGCAAGAAGACGACACTTGACGAGAATATTATAACTTTGGGCCCAACACACACACTCCCTCCACTGTTTCACTCCTCCCGGAAATTCCTCGTCATATTAAAAAATGATTTAGTGCCTGCCGTTTCTTAGGACTACAGTATGTTGTCTATTAAGTATCAAAACACACACACATCTTCAAAGTCAAGTAATGTCTGTTTCTAAGCGACAAGTTTCATGTATTTCTACCTATTGAAACCAGTAGGTAATTGGTAATCAGATGTACTGTAGTATTCATCCAGCTCAACTCACCTTCCCACGCTTCCAGTCTTCCCAGAAATCATTAATTCATCTGAAGGTGACAACAGGAGGGAAATGCAAATGAGTTCCAAGAAAACATGAATTAGGAGAACACGTGGGAGCATCTAGTATTGCATTACATCTAAGTGAACTAAACGAAGGTATAATTGTCCAGCAGCAGAAGAGTAGTGAAGTGATATAATACTAAGAGCCAGTGAACTAGAGAAACCATAATGACTTGGTATTTTAACTGTATCATTATGTTTATTAATGTTTCGCCTCAAGATTTTCCTCCACATATTGATCAATCGGTCACTGGAGTAAGCTGCTGCTGGTCGATGTAAAATTCGTTCTTTTTTATATTTTTTTACAACAAAACCAGAGAGTTTGTTTTTTATATTTGTGTTTTACTCTCAGGTTTAAGAGTATTTTAATTTAATCGATAGTATCATTGTTAAGACCTAAGGGAAATAAACAGGAACAAAATATTCATACTTCTCCCAATAGTCTTGCTTGCCCATGACAGTTCACGGTGTTATAGAGATTTTAAGCTGATGATGTATGATCGAATTGCATTTTTTTTACACTCTGAGAGAAACAAAGTCTGAAGTCGACATACAAGTGTTGGTCTATTTTATATTCAAAGATTCAAAAACGTTTATAATGAATTGTCTAATATGAATCACTATGTACAGTCCCCTTCACTAGTGCGTTTACAGATGGTCAAACCTAGGGTGACCTACCTGGACATGGGCGTGGTGAGGGAGTCTTATCTATATATATGGGCGTGGTGAGGGAGTCTTATCTATAGATGGGCGTGGTGAGGGGGTCTTACCTGTAAATGGGTGTGGTGAGGGGGTCTTACCTGTAGATGGGCGTGGTGAGGGGGTCTTACCTGTAAATGGGTGTGGTGAGGGGGTCTTACCTGTAGATGGGCGTGGTGAGGGGGTCTTACCTGTAGATGGGCGTGGTGAGAGGGTCCCTGAACCACAGCAGTAGATATATGGAGTCGTCTGGAGGATGAGACACTTCACAGGGCAGTGACACCGACCCTCCCCACACTCCCGTCACTGCCATCACCGGAACTGTCGAAAATAGTACCATTAATAGCAAACTGTTGAATAATTGTGATATTATTAGTAAACTGGATCCCTACACACTCCTTGTCAACGCTTCCATCACCCTGTCAACACACCAGTCAGCCCACTCCGTGTCAACCATTTACCCTGTCAACACACCACTCAGCCCTGTCAATACTCACTCCGCATAATTCCCCTACCTGGATGAGCTTTACAGTGCTATATTATAATTTTGGGGTATTTTATCTTATTTCTGTTGTGTTATATGACAATTTATCACTTCACAATGCAGAAATATTGATAATACTCGGACCTCACCCTAGTGCTAATACTAGTATATATACATTAAGAAAATTCCTAAAATCTACCATAAACATGAGAATCTCCAAGCTGTTATGAGGAACCACTAACAGCCAGATTCTCAGAGGTACAGTTGTGGATAAAAATAATTCGGCAGAGAAGGAGTGTAAGTTGCGTCTGCCTCATAATTAAAAAAAAAATGTGGTGTGGAAAGAAAATCACAGAATTTTCATCGCCACTTCTGTAACGTTGTCGAGTCTCTACCTACCCCTACCCTGCCTCCATCCTTCCTTCCTCCCTCCTTGCCGAATTCCTTTTGTCCACAACTGTATAACACTAAAAAACAGGAAGTGTGTGTGTGTGTGTCAGGTAGAATCACCCGTGTTTACTGCCACACCTTTATACCTATACTCGTGAAAGGTAAACAATGTAATGGAGTGGGTGGTGACTCCTGTACTGACTGATAGCCTCGATTTGTGTAGCTTATGGAATTAATCAAGAGAGTTTAGCTTCGAAACTCTCAGGAGGTCAAGACATCTGCTACGTATAAGATGATAACACGTGTATGTGTTACAACCAATACACAGGTTACCATTAATATTAATAACTGGATAAATAAAATCAAGGAGTAGTGTTCCATTTGACTCGAGTTTTGATCTTGTTACAAACACGACCAGTTACAGTGGAAACCAATACTGGGACAAGTCTATAATTTTCTAGGCCAACAATAAGCAGAGGAACTCGCTTAAGTTAAGAGGTTAACTGGGTGAGTTAATCAGGCAAGTAATTTAGCCTAATTGGTCTCATGGCTCTGGGTTTTTTAATTTTCTTAAATATGCTAATGAGTCTCTTGAGGACACGTTCTCTCTTAAATTCTCGAAAATCTACGAGAATAACACAGACAGTCAAAGTCAGGACCGGATAAATGTTCTCCCTTAATGAAGCCTTGACCGTTTGTTAGTCTCCCACCCACTAGTCTATTAATTAATCTGCTGATTTCTTGTTAGTTATTCACAAAATTATGTTGTTATTCTGAATGGGATTACAAATTAATCTTGAAATATGTGAACAACATCCCTACGATTCACAACTAATCATTATACATCGTGTTTTCAATGTTGTGTCCATTTATTCTTCTTTACTTCCCAGCTACATATAACACTACCGGTAACAGGACACATTTAAGCTTACCTGCGGCCATGGGAGAGGGAGGGGGAAGGGGGAGGGGATAAAACGCCATCATAGACCAGATTGGAATGACCGGACACAACTGCCACCCTGACACGAATTATAAACGAGAGAGAGAGAGAGAGAGAGATGGGGGAGGGGTTGTAGGACGAGGAGGGGAGGGGATTGATGTCGCCGCAGGAAGTACCAGAATTAGTTGATGAAATTTCAGTTCATTTATGGCGTACTACTCTGGTTAGGTTCATCACTCCCAAGTAGAAAACTCTGGGTTATCTTTATCTTTCACCACAAATTCTGGCAGATATAAACTAAATCAAAGACTATGAAAACAGAAACAAAATTAGAACAAAAACTAACTAGAGTTGCACAAGACGTAAAGCTTAACACCGTCTCCCCAAAAACATCTATTAGCTCAAAAAAAAAGAATAAATCAAATATGACAGAGAGACCAGGACAAACCAAATATACAGTACTGTCACCTTTAATGTACTGTACAGGAACCCAACGAGACAGAAGATGAAAGACGTCCACGACACTAACAGTACAAAAGTGGCCAAGGAAATTAGCATTCAGGCTGAGGTACTGGAGTTATAAAGACCGACTGAGAGAACAAGAGGCTTAATCAACGATGAACTAAAGAAACTTGTGGTGACATTATCGGGACGTTTAAGATGACACAAAAAAACATTCCTAAAATTGAGCAAAAATAAAGACAATACCAAATATGGTGACGTTGTTCAAGACATGTAAACAAACCAAGCAGGGTAAAAAATGGTTTTTTGAGGGTGATGGGTGATGGGGTCTGGTAATAGAGGGTAATGGGGTGATGGGGTCTGATAAATGAGGGTGATGGGGAATTATATTAGTGAGAGAGAGAGCGAGTCGAGTAATGGGTGAGGTAATGGGGTGGTAGTGGGGTGTGATGGAGCATGGAAGATAATGGAGTTAGGAATCTAGATTATGGGTAGTGATTAATTCTGGAGGGAAGGGAGGGAGTGAGGCAGAGATGAAAGGAGGGAGGTAGGGAGGGAGGGAGGGAGGGAGGGAGGGAGGGAGGGAGAGTGTGGTGGTGTGATGTGGTAGGTGGAGAGTATAGTAGAGTGTTGGAATCCAAGTTAACTGCAAATAGAATTCAGTTACGCAACATGCAGACTATTACGTGAAATGGAATACCCAGTCGTTCATGGTGCCCCTTATACTGTGTGAAAACCGTCAGTAATGAGTTTGATCACATTGTAATATAATCAGAAATACCTGTAATACCTTATACAATAAATGCCTTTGATAGGTATAATAAAAAAATATGATATAGCTAATAATGTAATATAAATTTACTCTTATGTAATATTTACGATTTACACTTCTTGAAGCCTTACCAACGGCGTAATTCTGTTTAATTTCTTCATATGGATTTGTCTTCCATTAGTTTGAAACATGTACTACGAAAGAAGGTTTTACTATATACAGTACATCGTGTCTGTGTGTCCGTCTGTCTATATGGGAAGTGGATACAGGAAGATGTGTCTTTTGATATTAAGGACTTGTAGCAGATGGGTCTATTTTTGCCTAAAAGAACCACATCTTACCAGTTTCCCTCATCAATTATCATATGTCCAAAGAATTAATATTTTTTTGGTTGATTTCCAGGATTTCAGTCGTTGCTGTAGCCAAATTTAGTGCTTCTACAGTTGTTTTTCCATTAGTGTGACTTATTTTGAGCATCTCATTTCAAGAGTCTCTAACCTCCTTCTGATGTCTGGTGAAAATTGTTGTTGTTGATTTGCTTTCCTGGCCGTCGACAACTTGGTGAGAGTGTCAACGCCTCTAACCCATTCACCAGTATTGACCATATACAGTCCCACAGAAGCCATTTTCTCATGCTTAGGTTATAATCTTCTTTTGACATTTTATCTTTAATTATCAAATGCCACTTTTCTTTGACCTATTCTTGTTTAAATTTCTCTTTTTTATCGACCATAATAAATGGTTACTTTTCAAAGACGCAAAAAAATTCATCTCTTTAAGTTCACTGTTGCTTATTGTGATTTTATAGCGACCGATACTTTCGCCTTTACATCCTTAAATGATATGCTCGTATATATTTCCACACAATTCGTAAAATATGCAGACCGGTGTGTATCTAAATGGGTTTATGAAATATTACTACATGGTCTTTGGTGTGAGGGCCCCATGAGAGAGCCACGATGCTTTCAAAGACGAATAGATATTGGAAGTTAAAGCGAATAAGGCAGTTCTTTTAGCACTTAGTAGCTCAATAGAAGCACTCCTGACATCCTTGTAGTGGGTAAAAGATTCGATTCCCCCTGATGGAGTTTAGATTGTTATAATGATGTGCACGAAATATATATATATATATATATATATATATATATATATATATATATATATATATATATATATATATATATATATATATATATATATATATATATATATATATATATATATATGTGTGTGTGTGTGTGTGTGTACACACACACACACATGCGTTACAGACAACAAAGTAATTTTCTGCAAAATTGCTGAGAAACACCTTGCCACTTGCCTTTTCAGTAAGATGGAGCAACACACACACACACACACACACTGCACCGTCTTACTAGCTGCCTTGCGGCAATGGTGACCTGGAGATAGTCTTCTCTGACACAGAACCGACAATATATAGCCAACCGGCTCCTCGATCTAACACCACCTGATTCTGGCTCTTGGGCGTCTTAAATCCCAATGAATATGCAAAAAAACGAACAAAATTTGAACAGTACAAGAAATGAAAAGCATCATTATGCAAGAGAGCCACGTAATGTCCGAGGACATTAGGGTGCGTGAAGATCATGGCATAAGACGGTCTATCGCTGGATGAAACAATTTATCAGATATAAATTATTACGCCAATTAGTCATTAAAATCCACAAAAATGAAAGAAGTAATTACAAGTCGTTCAGTAAATTGTGATTGTGTCAAAAACAGCGAGTTCCTTCAGCTACAATATTTTTTTTATCAATTCTGAAGAAAATCGTAAAGTGGTAGTGTTTTGGTTCACTCAATAAATCACCTTTTTCTCCGTGGAATTACACCGCTTAACAGTAATATGGAATATGTATTATTTTTCTCATTCGTCTATGATTTATTTTATGCAGCTTGTTTACACTATTGCCAGGTAAACATGCCTGCGATAATTGAGAAAAATAATATAAAAAAAGTTTTCAGATTTCGGACTGGCGATTTTTGAGTTTTGTTCCCGTGCCCCGCGATGGCAGGAACAACACGTACTCTCCATCCGTCACGCTGATGACTACCGCTGTGTGGATGATCCTAACAACAACATGTGGATTTACACTCAAGTTCCTGCATACAATAGGCATGCAATACTGTACACCTAGCATCTCACACGTCCCTAATATTCTTTTATGGCCAATAGACGTCTTTTGGGAAAGAAAATATTTTAATCAATGTTTATAAAGATCACCAGTGATTTTAGTTAAAAATGAATTTATAGT